CCTGGTGCCAAAGGCGTAGGTCTGGGTTTAAACACTGGTAGAGAACAAACCCCCCGTCCAAATAAACACACACAGTACTCCCTTAATATTGGAAGGGAGGTGTCCCTACCCAAACCAACACCCCACCTGGTGTGAGTTCTGCTATGATCGCTTACACAAGAAGGGTACCATTAGCGTACCCAGTTTCATCATGACTAAAAAACATCTTCCATAACTTTGCTGTGGTTTTTTTCATATGAAATTCCTATCGCTGCAAAAGTAATTCAAATATTTTGCTACATATGTGTAACGTAATTACGTCTTTTTGATCTAAATGTGAAGTTGATTTAGAAAGTCCTTAGAGACTACCACACTTCTTTCATATATTTCGGATTTATCTGAGGCCAGATCCTTTACCGATGTGTTTATTTTTATTTTGAGAAGCTAGAGCAGGGAATCTGACGTATATATTTTGCAGTGAGCAACATTTTCAATGTTCTAGTCCAGCAGTCCCACATTTGGCCGAAATGGTTGCAAACTGCAATATTTTACAGTTTCACTCATAAGGGTGCCCATTTGGTCTGAGCTGTTCAGAACAAATCCCTGCCTTGGGCTTGCTGAAGTCCCTGAGAAGCTAATTCCTTTCTCAGACATTGTCATGCATAAGTGGTGGCGAGATGACTTTTAACACGGGGGGGGGGTTTAGCAAAATGTCATCCCAGTTGGTTTCTGACCTCTACCCCCACTGAATTCCAAGCGGCCTCTTTCCTGGGCTGTGTCACTGGAGGAGTGTTGGGGGGGTTTGGGACCCATAAATGATTTCTGTGAGAACCGTGGCATGAAGCCCCTAACACAACAATAGCATCTAAATCACTGAGTCGGAGTTAGTACTCGTGGTTATGTGCTGCGGGGCCTGCTGTTTTAAAACGTTATAATTTACGTATGAATTTGAAATTGTTCATTAACGTTTAATGTGACTGTCTTCAGAACTTCTATCCAAAAAGGAATAAACTCTGGAATTTTAATTTAATTTTAGGTTTTCTGGATTTTTCATTGACTTCAAGGTAATTTAATTAATAAGCTTTTTTAAGTATTGCTTTATTCTGTGGCAGAGGGAGACTCTACATATCTAGCAGGCTGACTCTAAGAGAACATTTGGGTGTCTCCCGAACACTGACTCTTATCTATGAGTGTGGACTTTCCCCAGATCAATCTCAAATCTCCACAGACATGATTCCCAGCAAATTAGTTGATTTTATTAACCCTCTCTGTTCCCTAAGATCCTCATACAATTTCCCAAAAATAATTTCTGTCAAATTGAGCTAATCCTGCCTTGGAATTATTGTCCTCGGGACGTAAGGTAATATCCCTTTCGCAAAGGGACATGGGGACAGACGGTGTAGACTGCCTCCTGGTAGCAGCCTACATGGACAAGTCCGCTAACCTGCGGTGCTTTACTTCCCCCTACTGGTCGGCACCGGGTTTCGCTTTCCGACTGAGGCGCTTCTCCGCAGGTTTGTTCCAGCCGGTTTCTCAGTAGGTCTAATCGCGGAGGCGGGGATACGACGTGCGTGTCCCTGTCATGGGCGTCGTTAGGTCCGATCGCTCGGGGCCATAGCCCCAGGCATTTCAACCCCGACGCCAATCTTCAGAAGAAGTCCCTTTTCTTTCCGATGACTATAGAAACTCCCATGGTTCTCGCCTGTTATTACAATCAATTTTAGCTGGTAAGCTTCAAATATTAAATTAGTGCTCTTAATTTTTCTTAACTTGATGCGTGCATAAAATGAAAACTTGACGACTAATAACCTACCGTTGATTAACTTTAATTAATGTTCAGCTGTGGTATATAAAAAAATACCATCGTCACATTAAACGAAGCTTTATTTCTAACGGGCAGTGTTATCACGAAAACAAAAAAACAAAAAACAAAATCTATCTACGTAACCCCCCATTCAGGATGGAGCTGAAGCAAACGCGGCATTCTTTCTCTTCTCCTCGTTTTACTCTTCATTTGGCAGCTAGTAAGATTCAGATGCAGGCATTTGTGGCGGAAATGATCTGAAACGTGCTACTCGGATGGTGACCTTTACAGTGTTCTTCTGCAATATCTCACATGGGCCAGCCGTGATATATCAGCCCAAAAGAATGATGCAAGTGACAATTTTAGGATTGTAAGGAAATGTAATTGACAATACATCACAGGATAATAATATGGTTAGGCAATAATGGCTAATAATTTCAAAAACATTTCTAAATCTGACACAGACTGTCATAACATCAAGTTCCGGAGTTCAGTCACCAGATACAAGTGAAAATCATGGTTGTATTGAACAGCTCTATAAACAACGGGATTTCTTCGTGCTTAAAAAGCTTTTATTTTCCCATAGTCTCAGAAAATAGATTAGGTAGAAATTGTAATTCTGAAGGTGTCTGTATATTCATTTGGATACAGGAAGAAAAAAAAAATCACACAAGCTCATCGGTGTCTGTTGGCTGATACGCCTGAGACTCCAAATATGTATTCATACAAACAATATTTTCTGTAATACAGCAATATTGGCCATCAAGTAAAATAAAATCTGAAGCTTCCACAACCATGGGTGTTTTGATATTTAAGACGTTTATCAGTACAAACCTTTTCAAGGGCGTAGATTTGCTCTGGACATTGGTGGGGACCTATGACTTATCACATGCCATTTAAACAGCAATCATTTTATTTCACTTTTTCTGAGTCTTAGTGTGCAAATCTCGAATCAAATCATTAATGTTATTTGCCAAGTCAGTGAATGCATTTTAAAAACTATTTGTGCGAAGTGGATTGTCTATTGGTGAACTGTCAATAAAATTCTAGCCATGGCAATATTAGTATGTAGCATATCAATTTCTTTCACAAGACTGATTTCTGACAAATAGTCGTCATTAGATTAGGAGAACTGACAGGGATCATATTTATACTTTTACATTTAGCTGTTTAATCTGCTGTTAGTTTTAAGTCCGTATTCACAGACTATAGCCTGCCCTGCTATAATATAATGAATGTGCGTCAAAGCGGTAAAAAAAAA